CTAAGTGCAGGATTTCTCACTTGCCCTTACTGAACCTCATGAGATCTCTTTTGGTCCAGTATCCTAGTTTGTCAAGGTCTCTCTGAATCTAGCTCTGAATCAACTTTGTTGTCATCTGCTAGCTTGCTGATGATGCTCTCCATCCCATCTTCCAGGTCACTGATGAAGGTATTGAACAAAACCAGCCCCAGGACTGACCCCTGGGGCATGCCACTTGATACTGGCTGCCAGCTAGAATCAAGCCATTACTTCCCTTTGAGCCTGATCAGCCAGCCAGTTTTCTATCCACCCTACAGTCTATTCATCCAACCCATACTTCCAAAACTCACTTGCAAGAATGTTATGGGAGACTGTATTAAAAATCTTGCTAAAGTCTAAATCCTCACACATTGCAACACCCTTCAAAGGATGTGATGGCACCCCTGGGTGCCAGGGCATCTGTAACAGGGGGCTTTCGGGTCCCGTGTATCATTGGCCTGCCCACCTCTTTCTGGGCCAACTGCCTGCTTCCTCTCTTGTCATGCCTGTTGTTTCTTAATTGGCTCTTATTAAGGCAGAAGGCTGCCCATTCTTGCCCCAGTGCCAGGGGGCACTATCTGCAGCTCTGTTCCTCCCCTATACCGCAGCCCATGCCTCACAGGTGGCATCCAGATGACAATGCACCCAGCCTACAGCTGGATCAAGCTTAGCCCTTGTTGTCAGGCTTCAGACACACACATTCATACCGCCCTCCTCTCACTAGGGCCTCTCACACTCTACCCCTTCTCACAGGGTCTCTTTCACACATTGACAACTTGTACTGCCTTGCTCCCTCTTGGAGTGGGCCTCTTCGGCCATAGGCTTTACCTAGTGTCACCTTGGGTGGCAGACGTACTGTCTTTTGGGCCTCTCCCATGACCCTCACCAGGGTAGTGGCCAGCCAATTACCCGACTGGGGCCAAGCTTGCCCTGGCCCCTCCTGGGGCAACTCTATACACTCACACACACATACTGGGCTCCCAGCCCTCTGGTTTCCCCCCTACTGGGGCTCCACATTTCTGCCCCCTCACTGGGGGTGCAGGGCTTCCCTCCCTGGTGGGGACTCAGGTGGCCATAGCCATGCCTGCCCCCCTTGTACCCACAATGTTGTGGGGGCTAGGGGTTAAGGGGCTCCGACCCGCCGTTCACCACGGTGGTAACTGGCCTGGTATTTCCTGGGGACTCCCGCACCACCAGAAGCCCCACCAGGCCACCCACCCCCAGCAGGGTGCAGTTTTAGGTCATGTCCAGGACCAGGAGCCTCCAAACCATCCCCTTAAGCTCCTGCCCTTGCCTCCAAGATGTTGCATACAGCCTTGCAGCAAGGCAATGTCCCTCCCTGCCTACCAGCAGCAAACTGCTCCATTTATATAGGCGTCCAGAGATCTAAAATGGCCACCACAATCAAGCACCTGGGGGCTGCTTGGCTCAGTCCTTAAAGTGGCAGGCACCAACAATGCCCTGCCACAGCACCCTAGTTGAGAATCATTGCTTTAAATCTTTACAGCTATATAACTTTCTACTTCTTACTTTCATATATCTGCTTTTTAACAATAACTCAGAATTTCATAATTTTCACACATTGGTTCCTTAATAATGACAATGCTCTAATTATACTGCAAGTTAGTGGTCGACCTACAATGTTAGGGCCCAGTCCAGCAAACATTTTTTCACAGGTGTAACTTTACTTACAGAAATTGTTTAGTCATTGGCAGGACTATGCACATGAGTCAATTAAGCATCTGTGACTGTTTACAAGACTGGGGTCTTTCCACTGTAACACAAAAATTTGTTTGGGCATTTAGATTAGTCTAAGTACTAACATGTGGGGATTGGTTAAAAATCCCAAACCATCAACTCTCTTTCCTGCCAGTTACTTTGAAATGTTAGGAATTCAGTCTGGAACAGTTACATTATTTGCAATAGTGACTTCTTAGTGAGCCCTAGAATATTTTATGTGGTTAAATACTTTTTCAAGAGCAATTGAAAAATTATGTTATTCCCCCTCTCCTTTTTTAAAGGGTTCCATGTGGTAGGATTCTTTGAATATATGGAAAGCAGATGAAGCCAAAATAAAAATCTGGCAGGCAAAAGTCTGTGCTGCTTGCATTGGCTCCAACGCTAGATATGCACACGTTCATGATATCATTTGAAAGATGTCTATATTAAGATTTTAAAGCTTGCTTAGTTCCCAAGGGGTGCATTCACTGAATACTGTGATGTACCATGAAACTAAACAATTTTTCTTGCTCGAAAATAACTGCAGAATCAGAAATTCATGATGGGCCCATAACAAAGCACACATTAGTAACAGATGCTCTTGGATAGCCTTGTTAGTGACATTTAATTAGAATCTTAATTTTAAAGAAGGTAGAAAATAATACCAGTACTTTGCACATGGAGAAGTTCTTCATCTGAGGATCTCAAAGGATTTTGCAATCCTCAATGGCCTTATAAGTTAGATGCTCATTGTCTTCCTCAGTTCATGTGTCAGGAAGCAGAGGCACAGACCCTCATTGGGTCTCTCAAAGTTCATGAAAATCTTCCAGGTAAGGAAAGCAAATAGCCTTTCTCTTCTATGCAGTCTGTCTAAAATAGGACTGATGGGTGTCCTTTGAGGCCTGGGTGTTTACCTCAAAGTGGGCAGAGAAGTCATCCTGCATCATCTGTTTTGCTCTGTATTTTTCAGGAGAGGCACATGTTGTTTTCAGACCCTGTGTAATTGGTTTCTCATCAAACAGCTTCCAACAAAAGAGGCTGTTGCCTACAGAACATCTTACTTCTGAACCATTTAGTCCCTAAGGGCACTTTTACATGTGCACCATGGGTTGGGGAGGCAGTGTTTTAATTACAGTGGCTCCAAGAGCCGCTTTAAATAAAGTGCCGCCACGTCTCATGTATCAGCATCCCCAAGCTTAAAAATGGCGGCAGGGGCACTTGAACAAAAACTCGTTCAATCAGCTTTAGTTCAAATGCCTCTGTCACCCATTGAAAGT